ACTTAAGTTCTCCAGAGGGACTAAGCCCCAACATAGGCAACAACAGCACCAGCTGGAAGTGCAACTCTTTGCCCTCTTCAGAGGAAAGCATCTTCCTGAGCCCACTCTAGGAATAATCTTGCACTAGCAGTTTGTGCAACATATTTTTTCTAAGGACACAGCCTTCCTGTGCTTAGACCAGGTGTGCTTTGCAGCACACTCACATGCACTGTGGTGCCCAGGTAAAAGCTTTGTCCCGTTGACAATGAGCTGCAGATCACAGGCTCAGAGTAGTGAGGGTGATGACAGGTTCAGTCATGGTTTACAGAGGAATCATTCTCTGCTGAAATTCACTTACCAGAAAAGCACATTAACTGCCAAACTATTGCTTAATGCTGGTTCTCACTTAAATGTGGAACACAGAAACACTGTATCTTACAAATCACTTTGTACTGATTTCACAATGACCATCATTACTGTAAGGCAACTTTCACAACTTATCTTTGATTTGTGATCTTTGCTCACGAAGCAAATATAAGTATAGTTGAAAAATTTGCCATACAGTAATGATAGTCTGTGTGAAATTTCACTTACTGTGAAATTCATAGGAACAAATGACTACACAAGTAAGGTCCTCTTAGCCCCTCACTCAGGTTGCAACATACACTTCAGTGTATCATTTTCACTATGATATTCAAAATTACTATTTCAAAATTACTATTTTGCACTGATTACTCAACGCATGTCACCAAGAAGGCATTTAAAAAACACTGACTTACAGACAACAACTAACAACAGCTTCATCCACTACAATAACAATCTTTCACATAAAATTATCATAAAAATCACCAAAACAGGTTTTAAAAGAACCAATAAAAACCAATGAAAGGACAGTTTAACAAAGATATATATAATAGGATCACGTAATAGAAACTGGTAGGTCATTTGTTTCTATTCAAATTATTGAATAAGGTATCTTTTTTTTCCCATAAAAAATGAAGAAAAAGGAATGAAGAATTACTAACAGTTAATATTTTACAAGGAAAAATAATACAGTATTAAGTACAAATCCTTAGAAATCTAACTACAGAACTCTAGTTCAAGGGGCAAATATTAAAAATTAAAAACTAAGCATGAATAATTACACAGACGCATTTCCTTTAGGCCTAAATCTTGAACTTTTTTTGTTGATTTCATGATGCTACTTGCATATGAAAATTCCTCACAAACCTTCTGTCTCCCCCGGAAAACATTTGCAGTTGCTCCTTGTCCCAGAATGTCAGACAACAGCCAGAGGTAATTCGAAGTGCTCTGCATCTTTGCTCTTTGATCAGAGTTTTCTTTTTCACCTTAAAAACAGAAGGTTCAATACACTGAATTATAATTTAGTAAATACATGAAAGGGACTAATTTAAATTAGAAGGAAATATAAATGTCCAAACCCCAACTCTAACCCCAAAAACATGGAGAATGAAGAACAACCAAGTAGAGAAATAAGAGGTGAAACACGGAAACAAAAATAAGCCAAATAATCAAAAGTAATGCCACTGACACAACAGCTTGCTGAATTTAAGGTCTGTATTCCCCAAACTTTGTTTGAAAGACCAACTGGAAAGGTGAAAATCTTATAATCTTTTTACTGTTGTACATGGTGTTGAAATGATCAAGTAACAAAATATATAGAAAAGAGGCAAAAACATGTGCACAAGATCTTCTAAGATAAGCAAGACCTGTAACTGAATTCCATTATTCTGTACATATGCCAAAGAACAAACATTAGAGAAGATGTCAGATATGCATACAGATATTTTACATCACTTTGGCTCTGGAAGTTGCATTTCAGTCGGACTGTAAAGGAGCTGGACTAACAACACATAAAAAACTACTTTTACATGAGCTTGAAAAAAGCCACAATGGATGCAAGCATTTCCATCCACTAGCTAGAACCAGCAATTACTACTGAAAGAAATTAAGGGACGTTTCTCTCATTTCTGAAATTTCATATAGAGTATGTTGTATATACAGAATTTCCCCACCCTTCCTGAAATATGAATTGCCAAATACTCGGGCCTTCACAGATTCAAAAGAAAGTGGAAAAGGTTTGATTAAATTAAAATTATTAACACAAAACAGAACATTAGAACTGCCAGATTTTCCTGTTTGCCAAAATAGCATGTGAAAACCCTTAACTTCTTGGTTTAATTAACACACTGATTTTGCCATTAAACCTAGAAAAAGGCTCTAAAATCAAAAATTAAGCTCCCCAAACCTAAAGAATCTCAAGAGCAAAATGGCAACTGGACCAGGGAAGCTCCTACAGCAGAGGTCTTTGCTCAGCTTGTCACATGCATGTTAGTGCATGTGACACCTGACAGGAAACTGCTGACTGATACGCAAAGAAAGAAGCCTTTCCCGTAAATGATGAAAAAGAGGTATGACAGGATTTCCTGTATCTGTTACCAGAAGGTGGGAGGCACTTTCTGAGAGCTCCCTGGAGCACAGGTGTCACAGGAGCCTCGAGCGCGCCGAGCCACGCTGCACACACGCACACTTCTCAGGGCTCTGAGCGCTGCTCTGCCTGCAGTGACTGCAGATCCCACACTTTCCTCTAGCTGTTCGCTCATGTGACATGGGAAGCTTCTTGCAAAGCTGTCCCAAATCACTCAAGCAATGGCATGTAGCGTTCAGAATGCAAAGACACAAAGCAAAGACCTGACATTGCTACGCGGTTAATTGAGAGTCACGCAGCAATGCCATCTGCAAAATTTGACAAAGTTCTTAATGCCTCTGGAAGGGACAAAAGGTTTTATGTCAAATCTAGACAACAAAAAAACCCCTAACACCACATTCCCGACCCAGACAATTCTTGGTTAACTCTGACAAGACAATTTGCAATAGTAGCAGAAGCTGACTTCTGCCATCGGGCAATTACTGTAGATGCCAATGAGATATCTACAATGCAGACAGAAGGTACGGAAGAGAGGATGCAAAGAAATAACACACAGCCTGCTCTGTAAACCATCTGTAAAATCTTCAAGTTAAAACATTCCTCTCATAATTAAACTCCTGCTTCTAACAGGCCAGCTGGAACATTACCAGCAAACATGTATTTTGTGATTTACTTCAAAACAACATTCATGGACACATAGCAAGACACAGAAACATAACAAATCCTTTCTAATCAGACAGAAAGTGCACAGAAATTCTTCACCGAAATCTATTCAAATAAAAGCAAAATTTAGCAGCCCATTAATAGACTGAATTATTACACTTCCCAAAATAATAAAGATGAGATAGCTTATGTATAAGATCAGCTCTTTTTCTTTACAGTATTAATCTATAATTAAATATGCATAAAGGTCAATGGATGAAAAAACAAAAGAACATGACTGCAACAGATGATCTTCAGTATCATTCAGTGGATATTAAGAATAACCCCAGACCAGAAAGTCATTTAATGGATTCTCAAGGTCTGGGGCTTTTTCACTCTTAAAACAAAATATAGATATAAATATAGCAATATTAATCCCAGGGTACATATTACGTGGCAAAACAAAGTCAGTATTGCACTATTACCCTTTTTTTGCTAAAAGAGTACACTCTTTTTGGCAGTCTTCACTTTTAAGGTATAAAGTCTCATTCAGTTTTAACCTTCAAATTATAATAATTAGATTGAATAACATGTTAGGCCTCCTTTAATACTTTGTGTTCTCTGACAGTCATAAATGAACTTTGTTAAATACTCAGCATCTCAAGTTTTCATTTCTCCCACTATATTTCTAAATCAAGTTACTAAGGGTTTCCTATTAAAATAATAATAATAATTTAAAGAAATTAAAAAGGCTCTAACTGTATGACTGACCTTGTCACTAGGCTTAATGCTGAACTTGCTATTTCTTCACATCTCACTTATGGTCACTAAGTCTGGTATTAATGAGTCAAAAGCTCCTCACATACACCTAAAGAAATCTCTCCAGCTAGCAGTTTGATTTATTATCCCCTATGACTCATTAGCATTTCAGGGGCTTGGGGGCTGCTTTTTATTGAAGATTTTTCTGCTTCTGGTCATGCTGCTACTCTTTTAATCTATCAGCAGAGGGGATCGTAATAAAAAAAGACTGCATTACTAATTTAGTTGATTTTAAACTCCCAATGCTTTGAAGCAGAAGTACTGACTGCTCCTAACTAACAGGAAGGAATTTTCTGCGACCTCAGGCACACGGGATAAGCACACAAAGCAGGTATGGCTCCCCTGTTCACAGCTGCAATACACAACTGCACCAGGCAAGCAGGGACACATGATGAAGTGATGGCTCTTTCTGTTTACAGGATCCTATATGCCACCAAAGCCAACAGACAAGGTGCTCAGGTTCCAAATTAATGTTATTCACAGTCTGTTAACTATTAACCTTTTATACTTCCCTGTATGCCCTCTCTCAAGGCTTAGAAAATAAGCTTTTCCCCCTGAAGCTCCTGCTTCCTACCCCTGCTTTCTTCAGCTATAACCCCCTTAGGGGGTTTCCAGTGCAACAGCAGGCATCTCAGTCATGGAAATACCCTGCCCTTGGCCACACCAGGTGCTGCTTGAACCCTAACATTCTTCCACAGGCACACAAACCAAATGGCAAGCCTGGCTCTAGTGCTGCTCATCACCCCTGCTCTAGGGTTGTCAATCCGTAATGCAGGTAGAGGACCCGGCCTGTCCGGGACTGCAGCTCCTGGAAACCAGCGGAGGGCCACGTCCTCCTCTCGGCGGGGAGGGGGCAGGCACAGCGCCGGGACTCATCCCCACAGCAGGACGAGAAACTTTAACAACTCCTACAGCCACGAAGGCGACAGCGCTTCCTGAGTCACATTCACGGGGACAGAAGTCACCGAGACCGGGGCAAGGGCCGGGCCCCGGGCACGCCGCAGAGGCCACGGGCCGGCCGCGCCTCGGGGCGCGCCGCCGNNNNGCGCGGCCGCCGCGCCCTCCGCGCCCGGCGGGGCCTGTGCGGGAACCCCGCGCGGTGGGGCCGAGGCCGCGCACCGCGAGACAGGAAAATATCTGGGAAACATGGGAAAGTGGGCGTGGGGTGTTGGGTAAACGTGGTCACTGCGGGTGTTTTCGCTGGCGCGGCGTTCCCAACGGGCTCGGAGCGCTTCCGGGGAGGGTGCCGCCGTGATTTTTTTGCTGCGTAATCGGTCCGGCGGAGGTGTCGCCTCCTCGGCTCCCTGACAGAGCTGCCCCTGCCCCGCTCCGAGCGCCGAGCCGGGCGTGTGGGACCCACGGCGGGCTCCAGGGAGAGCCGGCAGAAACTTCTTTCTGCCCCGTGTAATTTCTCTGTTCCACCTCGTTAAAACCTCACGAAATCGTGGCAGTTTTCACATCCCTGCTACCGCTCAGTTGTTACTGGTATGTTTTAAACCAGAGTTCTTGGCTGATTTATCCCTTGCTGTGTATTTTTTGTCTGTTCGGTAATGTTGCTGTTCCAGTAAATTATCTGTAGAATGAAGTAGTGATATAATTTATGCGTAATGTAATCTGATCATAATTATAGTGGGGAAAATAGTGAAAATATATTTTTTTTCCTCTTCCGAGACGATCCCTCTTTTGATGCCCTGTATTTCCTGTTTGGAGTTGCCATCTTCCCAAATTTTGGAAGCCTGTTCTCTTGAGGAACTGACAGCAGCCTCTTGCTCCCAGGCTTTCTTTGTTGTTGCTATCTTACCTTTCATTAGTTTTATCAAAAGTTCAGACTTTCTCTGCTTCACTTGTTACAGGGCACTAAAGTATTTTCAAAGTTCTCCGTAGTGAAACTGAAAAATTGGTTGCAAGGCACTAAGGTTTTTCCCAAGTTTTCCATAGTGAAATGGATACATTGATGCATTTATGGTCTTAATATAAATGCTAAATTAATGTTCCCCATTTGTTGGCATCTGAACTTTACTTTATAATGCTGTATTGTAGAGGGGATGGTTCCCTACTACATTTGTGTTGTGTCCTTGCATCTTTCAAAACATTATGCCCAATTTAAGAATAGGAGAAAACAGACACAAAAAAAGAAACTGCCATTACAGTTTCATTCTAGATTTTTTTTTCTTTGCTTGCTTCCATTTCTTTTTAGCATATGAGTAAAACTTTTAGTATTCCTCACCTCTCTTGTATTTGGATTCTCATTCATGTTAAATTCAGCAGTCTGTAGCTGCATAGGCCTGAAAGCTTATCAGTCTTTAGCAATTATACCAGCTTGTAAATGAAAGGTACCATCTCTCTAGAAAAGGTGCCTCATCTTTAATTATGACTTGCAGTTGTGTTTCTCATTTAAACACTCCTTACAAGAGGAAATTTGCCTTATACACTGGAGGAGTTTACCACCATGATGATGATTTTAAACACCTTCAGTCGAGACCTTCATTTTGACCACAACAATGTTAAGTCATACAGGAAAGCTGCAGGTGGTTGTGTTTGGTGCAGCCTTTAAATGAAATTAATGTTTGTCTGGAAAAGGATAAATTGTGATTGTCAACCTAATCTCTCCACGGAGTGCTCTCATTTATCTCTTATGCCCCTTCTACCCCACAAGAAATATCACAGAGTCATAGAATGTGCTGATTTGGAAGGGGCCTACCAAGGATTCTTCAGTTACAGCTTCTGGCTCTGCACAAGACCATCCCTGAGAGTCACCATGTGCTTGAGTAGTTTTCATATTATGTTCAAAGTATCCAAACACTGCCTGAAGAATCTAGTTCACACTCTTGAAAATAACCTGCTTGTAGCCAGAATCAGTAATTACATGTTAGGCTAAAGATACAAAACTAGCCCACAGTGCTGCTTTACACCTCATGTTGCATAAGCCCTGATAGGACAGTATGCTGATTGAACAGTCAAAGCATAGAAAAGTAAACAATCCTTTTTTAATTCTTCAAACTGAACCAACTTACATTCCCTGAAGGTCCAGACTACTCATCCTACAGGATACTCATTCAGTGATGGATGGGAGGGCAGGGTACAAGTTTATAACAGAGGCACACCCACATAATGGGTGTCACATGCAGCTCTATCCTACACTTGGTGCGCTCTGCTTTCTATCCATTCTCACCTGCCACCACCAGAGCAGGCAACACACTGTGAGGGGGAAGTGTTTCTGCTGCTTCAGCTTCCTGGAGAGCTGATGATGGGCACAGATGAGCTCCAGATTTGGAGCTCAAAGGGACCTACAGCAGTAGGGAAGGATGGTGGGGTTGAGGAAGGAAAAGAGTCTCTCTTGGCAGATGCCAGCTTAAAGACTTTCCTCTGAGGGTCTAATTTGATAACAGCTAAAGCATCCTCTTAGCAGCACTGCCCTTACTCAAGAAGGTAAAATCCTAATTCACATATAGTAACTCAACCAAGACTTTCCTCTGAGGGTCTAATTTGATAACAGCTAAAGCATCCTCATAGCAGCACTGCTCTTACTCGAGAAGCAAAACCCTAATTCACATATAAAAATAATAGTGACTCAAACCAAAACGCTTTATTGTTCACTTCATAATCTGCCTACTGAAAGCTCTCCTCTCTGTGTGGTAAAGCTTCCATAACTGTGGGGGAGGAGGCCAGGACAGACACAGAAGAGTGACAGCAAATCCCCAGCCATAGCTGCAGTGTCAGGGGGGCAGCCTTCGTGCTGGGGAGGTGCAGGAGAACGGCAGCACCTGGAAAGCACCAAGCCAGAGAGGGAAGGCTTCTAGTGCTATGGGAGAAGATGAAACGGAGCATTGGTATGGCAGCAATAGGAGGGAAACATGTGAAACTAGGAAATATGAAAAGCACAACAAGCACTCATTCTGTGATACAACAAATCAAGTAACAAGAAACTTTTGATTAAACACATTTAAATCAGGAACAAAATGTTACAAAAGTAATACTGTCCTACTGAAGGTAGTTGAGGTACTTTTCTTCCCTCAGTGAAAAATGAAAATGGCAGTATGCTCAAAACATCACCACACTCTAATCCTGGATGCTGCTTCTGACCCACCTTCCCATCTATTTTTCAATTAAAGTGAAAGAAGAACATGGCACCACAGAGTCTAAAAAATATTCATCTGATTACACTAGAAGTAAGTCAGCTTTTTACTATGGACATTAGTTCATGAGGAAAGTATTATAAATCCCATGCATGGCAAGACTCAAACTTTCCCCTGCCCCTATGAGACAGTCATAAAAACATGTCATGTTAGAGAATTAAAAAAATAAAAGTAGTAGCATTCTACTAAAAATCACTGTATAGACCATTGATGCTACTGAAATTCTGCAGTGAATGCAATTCCTTCTGCCAGCATCATCCACATGCAAGGGAGCAATATAATTTATTACCTAAGCACCAGAAAAATTGCCAGGTTCTACTTAGATATAACAGCCAGAAGATTAAAGAATGCTGTAGCTTCTAAAAATTCCACTGAAATGATTCAGAGAGACTTAAGACATTTCACTGCATCAAATTTTATTGGTTTTATAAAAAAAAGATAGAACCAGATGCTACTTTTAAGTGAAATCATTTATTACACCAATCTGTTTTATAGGAGGTATATATATATTTTATCATTAAGACAACTTCAATAAAATGACTATCTACAAGAAGGACTTTGATTGTTTTATTTTCATGTCACCATACATGAACAAATGAATTTTATGTCTTATTAAAACATTTTACTCCGTATCAAAAATGTACACATTTTAATAACCATTGCTATGGTCTGAAGGTATTTTTACATTTTATTCATTTAATTTAAAAAATAAGTGTAATTTCCTTGCTGTATGTGTTACAATGTAAGCTTAACTCATCCTATACATAATAAAAGTTTGTGTATACAGATAATTTTTCATGTTGTCACATACCTTCATGTCTGAGACACAGGTGGGGAATTTGCATTTCTTTTTTGCAGAAGGTTAAAGTACGCACTGATGTGAGCACAAAGCAACATTTCTTAAAAAGAAAACCAGTTTGAATGGCACAAGAGTTAGCATTTTTATAAATTAACAACCAGAGTTCTGCATTATGGAAACAGGTACATGAGATTCCAGTACTTTCCTTAGGGCTTGGCTCGCTGGAAAAAAACCTGTGAAAAATTATTTTTAAAAAATTAAAACAAAGGAAACGTAAGACATGGAATGCTTGAGGTATAAGAGGATTTGTTTGACAGAGCTCATTTTTGTGTTTAACATACTGGTTAACACATTAAGTGTAAGGGTGTGACTTGTGCTATTTGTTTATGCTCAAAGCCTCAAAAATTACCTGTTCTGACACTCTCTACAATTATAGCATCACATTATTGCTTTTTCAGCTATTAAACAAAAGCCCCAAGAATATCAAACTACTGAGATGGCAAGGTGCTAAGAATGAGTGACAATTTTATAGATGCAGGTTTGTTGTTGTTTGCTCTGTCTTTCCAATTAACTGCTTTGCTACTTGGAGATTCCCAATAGCTAAAAACTATTAAATAATTCAGTATTTAGGTTTTACTTCAAGTTCTTACTATGACTGAACGGTATGATAAAGTTGAAATGGAACTAAAAACTATTGAAAGAAAAATCTTTATACCTTTAAGTAATTTTTAAAAACTTTAGCATCAGGCTGCTGAAGTGCTTGACAGAATTCCTGTAAGAGAGAGCAAAGAAATAACTAAAAGAAATAACAAAGAAGTAACTAAAAGAAGCAACAAAACAACCTGAGATACATTCATACTAAAGCCATTGATATTCATTTGTATTTTCCCTAATGTACAACTGAAAAAAAGCATGTCATGGATAAAAACTTGTAAAATACTATGACAGTCAAAATGCATTCTAGGGTGGAAAACTATTTCTTTGGTGGGTTTTTTTTTTTCCAGTTACAGGATCTCATTCACTTTTAGCTGAGGAGACAGAAATAGGACTATCTACAAGGATATCTTCAAGTTAAACTTTGAATTAAAGTAGGAAGATTTTTAGACAGTAACATGCACTGGAATTTTTTTTTTGCAAGGTATCCTCGCAGTATCTTTACTCCTTATGATAAATTAATCCTAGTCTCAAATGCAATAACTGAATAAATTTTACTGTGAGATTAAAGGAGTTAACTTGGTAAATATCCATTTCTCCCCATTTTATACTTATGATTGTTAAAGAGTTTTCCACATATTCTTTTAGGAACTCCTACCTGGATTATCTCAGGAGCTACTTGCAAAGAAGGCAAATACTCTTGCTGAAGATACTGAATGCACTCAGGACCCTAAAGAAAAGCAGTACACAATTTTTTCATGCATTTTTTTTTTCACAGATGGAAAAACCATAGCCCTATACTGTATGGTGATCTATATCACCATTTCACAGAAAATGAATGCTTTCCAAATGTTTAAGTTATTCTCAGCTGTTAGCAAATAAAAAGATTTCTCAACCTTGGCCTTAAAGGTTCTACTACAATTTGGTATCTTTTGTTACACAGAAGAAAAATGCACTAAAAATTACACTGAAGTAAGAATTACAATACAGCCAAACAGTTTGTTACATGTCAACTGTAAGAGATAGTGAAATTAGTGTTGCCTCCATAATTAACTATCTGACATTTGGAAGAAATAAAATAATTGGATGTTAGCATCTGCCTACTGCTTTACCATACTGCTCCCATTGCAAAATTCAGCTGCAAAATTCAGTAGCCAAGAGAAGATGAACACAGTACTTCTCCTGTAACATTAACTATGTAATCTGCAGTGAACTAAGCAGTAATAAAATGGAAAGTCCAAACCTTTGAGCGAAACAAACATTTTGATTAACACTTCAGTTTTTGTTCTCTTTACCTATATTTATCAGATAAGTTTCAGCAAAGGAGGGATTACTGCATAAACTGGCAGAATACAAACATAATCCAATAGATCGACCAAGAGAAAGTGAATCAACTTTACTAATTCACATAAGTTACCCTGGAACTACAACAACAACAAAGTGAGCAGATTTTTCTCCTTAATGAAGAGTCAGTATTTTGCATTAATTTATCAAGAGGTAGAACTACTGGACCCTGTATCCATGCACAGCATTATGATTATCCTATTATTTTATAACAGTACAGTAGGAATTCATCCTAGTAAGTATCTAACTTTTGGAAATTGATAAAGCCACTAGAAAGAAACCTGTGACAGTTTTTCCCTATGAAGTATGATGAAGCTTACCCTTTTGAGATGAATTGTTTTTAATGTCACTGCACATTCTGATAAAGCCTGAAATGTAATACAGAGCATTAGACTGTTGCACTGGTCTATTGGTTCACTATTCACAGCTAAAGAACTTCATGAGACCCAAAACAAGGGCTAGCTCATGTCATTATCCCTTCATTTTCCCCTCACATAATGCCAAGTCTTGACCTTCCAGGTCAGAAAATCAGAAAAACTTCTGCATAGCTGAATCCAAAATGAACTAGAGAACAGCCAACTTTGTGTATTTGCTTTCACTGAGCATTAGTTAATAGGTAATGCAGGTCAATGTTAAATACTTAGAGCTCCAATTGATTTTGAGCCTAGGAAAACTACAGGATACACTACCACAATATTCAATAATTAATCCTACAGATACCTAAATGTTAAAAAATACTGCAGAACCTAAGGGATTTTATTTCTGAGATGACAATCTTTAATACCCCATGGCTATTGCAGGTTTGTTAGCTTCAATCTGCCTCACAGGATTTAATGCAAAAAAACCATCCATAATACACACCAGTACTGTCTGGGCATCTGCTAAGTCAAATGTTTGCTTCAAAGGTGCTAAGAAACATGCAGGAACAATGTGCTTGTAGACAAAGTCTGCAAAACCTACTGGTCCATCTTTACCTCCTAAAAAGAAAAAGAAAATTCAAGTTCTATTATTGCTTCACGGCTAGTAGCAGATGGAAAGGAATTCCAGAAAGACATTCTTACCCCAGAGCTCCACCAGCTTAGAAAGAATAATAAAACAAGTCTTCTGTGCAATAGGATCTGGGTAATCCACTGCTCCTTGAATGACAGTGAACAACACACGTTCCACGTTCTCTGCACCTTAAACACATTAAAATGAACTTGTCACTTCAAACCACAGCCCAAAATGCTTTGGTATTCATACGCTATTTTATATAAATACTGACCTGGAAGATATGCTTCAACTTCAAAATAGCTCTTTTTTGCACAAATCTCAAATATTTTTGGGAAGTTTCCCCTACGATGCAAGACAACTCTTATTTAGGTTAATTTTTTTTTTAAGTTTGGAGATTTAAATTGCTCTTCTGGCCTTTAACACACACAAAGGTGAGGGCAGTACTTTGACCTGTTTACAAATAAAAATTCTGTCCTCTCTAACACTTGAAAGTGTTAATTAAAACTCAGCAGCACTGAAGCAGTTAGCGTATCTTGCAGCATATGATGAGATATTTTTCAGACATATAAATTTCTGTGCTGCATCAATGCTGATTTGTTTGATCTCTTTAAAAATTTCTTGGCCCATCACAACTACCAAGTGCCTCTTTCAAGAAAGCTCTCACTACCTTTTCCTGTCTCAGCAGTATTACCACCATTTTAAGATAGGGGAAAGAAATTCTGAGCTTCACTTACCAGATAAGTCACTCTAAACTTTCTGAAGTCCCTATCCATTTTGATGGAATTTAAACAGAAAGAATCACTTAAGGTATCAAGCAACTAGATGTCTGACTTCAAATTCCCACCATGAAAAATAACTAATTTGCATCTGGCCAGGAAAGGTGAGGAAAACCTGGTAACTACATATATACTTAGTCACATGATGCCTTCTACCATAGATAACAAGATCAGGCAACAGTAATAGAAGTTTACAGGATTTACTGATGTGTCCTTCCAAAAACAGACACAATGAATAGTGGCAGCTATGAGTGGTCTTGCCCAGCAGTGTGAACACTGCTATACATTGGTATGTATTGTATGATCTCCAATTCACCAGACAAGTACAATGATACATGAAGACTGGATACACTGTTTTTGTCCTAACAGGCACAGTGATCACATGAAGCTTGGAAAGATCAATAGAAAGAATATGCCTATTATATCTGGACTTCACAACCCCAAATTCCTGTACAACAGGTAATTTGAATCAGGCAAGCTGAACACAGTATTTCCATTAATCTATTCTATTGTAAGATAGTTAACAGTACTTGCCAGAAACTGGACTAATAATTTAGTTAGCAAAAACGTAGGTGAGAATAACCACAGCACTATCCTTTGAGAAACTGGATCCCTTACCTTGATTAGCTATGACTTCACTCATTCCACTGCCAGTTACTGTCTGCAGAAAAGCAAAGTAACTCCTCCGTAACATTTGTTTTTCTAAAGCAGCAGACTGGTCATTTTCTTCCGCTGGAAGGAGCAACACCTCAAAAATAGCACGAAGTAGTGGCATAAACATCTGTTGCAGAAAAGGTGAAACCTGCGTCTGTGAAGATCAGAAAAGGGTGTGAGCTCAAAAAGAGAAATTGAACATCAAGAAGTTAAAACTTAAAGGCTTGTTAGAATTCTCAACATGGATCCACTTTTAATGTTAGTAATTTCATACAATTACTTACAACACAGCAAGTTGCATCAGGGTCACCATGAACATTACTGCACCTTGACTCACACACCACCTATTTTAAGCTTTTTGCACAAAAGCAACTAGTCCTGTCTAGCCTCATTTTGTGTAGGAAAAGGTTTTTCAGGATTTTTCATCCTTCTGTTCAGACAGACAATTTCAAATTTCCTGAAATACCATCTCTAAGATGTCAAAACTGGCAACAGCCAGCTTTTATAGAACTTTACTATTACTGAAGTTTTCCTACTAACATTACAGAATAAACTTGTCACAACACTTTTAGTGCAAAATATATGTAAGGGCACTAAATTAATTATGAATTGAAAAACTGAAGGCGTGCTATTCAGTCACATCAGAATTCCAAAAAGAAGCAATATGTTAATTTCTTAATGCTTAAGCAAGATTTTATCTTTTTTCCTCTCTTTATAGTATGCCTTTAAAGTATTCAAGGTGAGACCATAGAAGGTAGGATCTTTATTTTACCTATTATAATAAGAATAGTACTGTATCATACAAACTTAAAACATTACACCTGAACATAGTATTTGTCCCACCTTGCTCCTGTGACTTTTTTCTTTTACCTTCCTCATCTTTCATGGACTATTTTTAATTATCTACTGTTATCCCCAATATAAATCTATATTCCTCCTTATACACATATTCGATATTTCTCTATCTTCTGGAAATCTCATTATAAAAGATAAGAATTCACTTCAAACCTTGTGTATCTGTAAACTAATTTTTAACATTAGCTTAAAACTTCAGTAGAGAGCATGAAGTTAATTGTGTCAATAAGAAAAATTTGTGATGCAAGTAGTATTTTAAAATATAAAATCAAAAAAATTAACACAATATAAGCATTTAAGACTAATCAAAGAAAAAAATCAGTCATTTAATCACTGTGAGTCCAGGAACATATGACTGTGATCAAAAACATTGTTCCCAATAGCAGCCTTCAAAATACACTTACTAATTTTTAAGGAGGGCTCTGACACTGTTTTTCCGGAAATAGAAACAAGATCTCTCAGCAACACTTTGACCCTGAAAAGCTAATGGCCTATCATACCTTAAACTTAGCTGTTATTTGGTTTATAAGAGGAATGAATTCTTGAAGATCTTTTGCTTCACAATCTTTAAGCATGTGTTCAGAGGCAGAAGGAATGAATGGAAGAACTTCCTCCTCTAGGCAAATAATCATGCGGTGAAGGAAAGTGCGGACACCACTTCTCAGAACTTCCTTTTGTAATGGACAACTGAGAGCTGGCAGAAATGTTTGTAAGCAGTCCAGATAAACCTCTGAGCATCCACATTGCTTTACAGTTTGCTTATTGCTGAAAGCCTTGCTGGTTCGGCTGTAAAAACACACATCAAGGTTTACATAAGCTCACATTCCAGTACAATGAAGAAGCAGTAACACTGAGAACAAATGCTTTCCAACCCAGGCACTAAACTACAGTACTCCATTTCATGAACTGGGAGCCAGACAGTGGAAGTAATGAACAGAATATTTTCATATGAAGTAGCATCATTTTGGCAGTTTCTGAGAATTAAATTCTAACAATTTACCAACAACATATGATTAGATTAGCTCCATACGATTATTTGAGCAAAGAAATAGATTCTGATTGATTATGAACTTGCTCAATATTCTCTGTATATACATCCAAAGCAGACTCTTCCAAGGGGACTTATTTTCTCAGCTATCACAAGAAATTCCACAACCACTGCTGATTTTCTAGATCAATAAAATAGAAAACTCCGTCCCTCTTCCCACTAAATCCTTTGCATTTCCCTTTTACTCAAACCAGAAACATATAGTGTTGCTGTGCTGTACCTACCTAGCAAACCCAACAGCATGATTGAGGCAGTCAGCCAGGGCCATCTGTCTGTCCTCATCTTGTGCCATCATCAGTTTTTCTAACAATACTTTGAACTTCTCCATCAGCGGAGTCAACAAATTCCTCATCAGAACCTGTTTTCTTTCTGCAGAGTATTCACTGTTAACTATTAACACTCCAGCTGTTTCATAAATGAAAAGTTGATCATCACTGCTTAACAGCGCCTGGTAGCCATTTTCCTAAAATGGAAGATAACAGGCATAATTCACTAAGTGTCTTCTGTCAAGGCTGTCTTCTCAAAGTTTCTAGCCTTCTATATATACACACATCTCTACCCTGTGCTCCCAGAAACCCACATAAGCAAGATTATTACAATTAGGTACAAAAGTAAGATGTGCAAATGATCTCACACCAAAAAAAGCAGGATAATTATTTGTGCTTAAATGTCTGCATGCTAAGCTTACAATTCAGCAAGTACTCAGGCACACAGATAAGTGCAAGCCTCACTCATAAAAAAACCTACTGCAAATACTCACAGGAGGAGAGAGTTCCATCAGGTCTTGTATTCTGTTCAGAACATCTTCAATAAAGGGATTCATTTGCTTACTGAAGTAAAATACAAGTACATAACACTACTTAGAAGCACATTCATTTTTACAGGTTTCAAGATATTTCATGTAAGCTGTGAAGTTAGATGCTAAATTGCCTTCTCCATATAGGAATCCCCTTTAAATATCAAAGCACTGCTGCAGAAAAATCTGGCTTATGGGTATGATGCTACTGGTAGGCCAAATAAATGCATGGCATAGTAGGAAATAGGCATTTCTTTCTTTCCCTCATTTTTTTAAAAAATATGCATCATTTAAGATTTTGAACAGTTGAAAAATAAAAGCATGCTGAAGTCTGAGCCATCTCTGAGCTTCTTCTGCCTCTAAATGAAATGCATGCCTGTGAAATAAGACCAAAAGGACAGGACTGTTCAAAGGACTCATACACTGAGTAAACTTCATCAGTACAAATTCCAAAATAATTCAAAATTTAGTTAGGGACAGGGACTAGTTACTCTTGAAAGTCTCTAGACCCACTCACACTCAGCTCTGCTTACTGAGAAAAAGTAGAAAAGGCATTTATGTTGTTGATCAGCTTTAACATCTGATCAAAATAAACTGGGCATATGTATTCCACTTCTTGTTCTGTGACAAATATTTCCACTGCTACCTTAGTATTACACAGGAGAACAACACTGCTAGAGCACTGCTTTGGAATTTTACTTCACTGCAGTCCATCTGAAGCCCAGCCTGTCCCAATGACAACTGGGACATACAGAAGTGTTTTATGTAGTAAATTCAGTGCCATTTGGATACATTTCTTTACTCACTTAAGAGACTTGACAAATCTGGAAAAGAGGTAAGCTGTTCGACTCCGCACTTTGGGACTCGTATGACGAAGACCACGGTGATCTAAGAATGCCATCTGCAATCAATAAAGCATCTCAGTCTTAGAGTGTCTAAACAAGCAGGGGGGGAAATCTAATCATCCAACAAGTTAAAAAACCCAGCTTCCTTAGGGACTTCAGAGAAAAGGAAAATTTCTTAAGTCTAAAGAACTTAACTAGTCTCACCGAGTCAAAAATATAAATGAGATGAAACTTACTAGTACAGTTGGAATGTGCTGAGGTTCAACAGCAAAGAATTTTTCATATCGAACCACTGTTTCAAAAAATTCCAGGGTCACTGATGTGTGTTGATAGGCACTAACACCAGAAGTCACCAGCTACAAATAAAAGCATTAGAAAATTAGTATTTTAGCTGTTTATAAAACCTAACTGAAGCCGAAGTGATATGCTGGTCATTACAAGGAGCCATTTTAACTGAAACATTCTAGGCTTTAGTGGCACTTTTTAAAAGCTCTCAAGACATGCTTACCGTTCTCATCATGTCTTGTAAAGCTGTAGCTTTAGTAACATCACCAGAGAAATGAGCACCATGAGATACAGGAAGAGCCTCAGCCAACATATACAGCAGCCTTATTGCCACTTCTACTTCCATAAATCGTGTAGTCTGCCAGTTCCTGGAGAAAGAATATGAACATCATGTTAGTCTTTAGTACTTCATGAAATAATCACAATTATACCATATTAATATTTTTTTGAGCCTTCTTCAGATGCACAGCATAAAAAGAAAAAAGAACTAAAGAAAGCACTGGAAGGCTCAGGTGGTTATTCAAGATGCTTCTGAGAGACTTTATCCTCTAAAATACCACCTTCTCATCACTAGCTTTCTAGTGGGAACTGGCAAAAGAACTGGCCTCTTTCTTTTGCCAGTTTCCACTTGAAAACTACAGATTTCTATTGTGCTTATTTAGATACAAACATACCTACTATGACACGAGGACAAGCCATTCAGCTTCACATAAGAAGAGACTCAGTTAAGGTACAAGGTAGCCACAAACAATACTGGATATCTATTTGTATACACAAAACTTTCCTCCTAGCCAAGGAACTAGTAATGTTTCTTTACTTGTGTGCAGCTTCCAGGATGAGATTTTTTTTTTTTACAAAAATACTTCACTTAGATTTTTCACTCCCATCCAACCTTGTTTCTCTGATAAAAATAATACATAATGTTTACACCTCAAGGACACTCTCATGAGATGTGGCGAAGTGAATACCTCTCCAAACAGCTGGTGCTGTGTAGATAACTGACAAAGATCAAGAAACATCTCTAGGAAAGAAAAGCTGCCATTTAAAGTTATAAAAAGAAAGTTTTTCCTTCTAAGGAGCTGAGTGACAGGTGACACGAAGCTGTATTTATCATTAAGTTGTAATGAGCTCATTCTGTCAACTGACTTCACCTTGCTGCATCACACATTTCTCTACAGACTGATGGTTTACAAAAGGAAAATAAAAAACAAATACCAAAAAGGCAATATACAAACCAAGTTATAAACCCCAACTTACTGAAGTGTAGTGTTAAAAACTCTGCGGACAGATGCCAACAGTAATTCTGGTGAAACCTGAGCAAGTCTGTCCAGCAACAGTTTCAATTGTTTTCTGTACTCTACAAACATTGCTTCATCTTCACCCTACCAAAAAAAACTCACATCAGTAAAGTCCTTATTTTCATGTTTAAATTCATCCACAACCATTTTAGACAATTACACCTAAAGAAAAAACATGTACATACAAAACCAGTACAGCACACTGAGAATTCAATAATGCTCATCCAGTGCTCTTGCAACATAAACAGCAGGCTCCTTTTATGGTTGGATATAGTATGTTGAGATCCACTGCATTCAGTCCAGAAACATACTAAAAAGGCTTTCCAAAATGAAAGCCAGCCAAAAGTACAATTAAGAAAATGCTCTTGGCAAAGCCTTATTGACCCAATTTTTAAAAACTGACTCACTCCTCAAAGACTTAGTTTTAAAATTGGACTGACACACTTATGATGGACAGGATACAGTTTAAGTTAACCCTTTTAAGACTATTGCTCTCTCACATTACTGCTGGCTGACACTCACTCCTCAAAGACTTAGTTTTAAAATTGGACTGACACACTTATGATGGACAGGATACAGTTTAAGTTAACCCTTTTAAGACTATTGCTCTCTCACATACAAAATCATTACTGCTGGCTGATAGAGATGTTAAGCATGCAAGGAAAATGAAATCAAAGACCTTACCCCACCCTTAGCTCATTTTTGCAGAGGTATGACCATCTCCAGTAGCACAAGCTGCACTTCTTTTGAGTTTCATTACACAGTATTTCTCAAGTATTTTTGCAAGACAGAAGTGACATGCAGAAACGTGCAAATTTGCACTGAACAAGCCACCTCAACTGCTATGTTTATTTATCAGCACAGCTCTATTTGCCTTAGAATAGGTCTGCACAAACACAGCCACAAACACTGTAAACTCAGTTGGCTTGGATATACCTTTACTATGTTGTTTTGTCCTATACAGACATGCCTAGAAGCTTTCCATATAGGAAAAAACCTCAGCCTATGGACCCTTGCTTCCTACCTTTAAATCTTTAGTCTATGAAAAATATGTATCTTAAGTGTGAGCAAGTTTTGCTACATATAATTAAGTTGCATGTGTCTGTTTATTCCTACAACACAATACCTCATTTTCAAAATTATATTCTTCATCATATGTCAACTTCTTCATGACAGCCAACATGATTGCCTAAGATAAAAACAGAACAATAAGCATAGAAGCAGACAAGTTATAAGAAACAGCCATGATAAATACTACAGGAAAGAAAATATTGAAGCTAGTGCTATGTGATTACAAATATTTTAATCCCTTTTAAACTATTATTTTCAGAAGTTTAGCAGAAGTTAACAGTCCAAATCAAAACAGATGGATTATATCCAAACAACACACAGATGCTATTCCAGACAGACAGCATAGACATTTTGAAGCTCTCAGTCTCTGACAGTATTATCTAGCTTTAGTTCCTGCTTGTAATTTGTGCTGTTCAGTTCACAAGGAAAACAATCAAGATGATTGAACTAGGCAGAGGAAACTAAACAGGTCGTCCAAGACACTATTTTAAAGGGATAACTCAGCTTACCTATGACATCAACTTCTCTAACAGTTCATAGTAATTGGTGTGTATTATTCATCTCTATTCAATAATTGTTATTCATCTCTATTAATTCATCTCTATTCCATCTTTTAATACTGCTGTTTCAACACTGCTTCAAGAAACAGTGCACTATACTGTAGTACCTCTAACTACTCTCCATTGCATATGGTAAATACTTCTGATTCGAGTCTTTTAGTCTCATCATTATCATCAACATCAATAAAATGAATCATTTATAGATCTGGTTTGCCATCCTTAATCCTGCAAAACAAAGTTGCAAAAAGCTTCACCTACACAATCCTTATTCATAAACCATTGACTAAGTCTGGGAGATAGACTGGATCCAGCTGCACCTAGACTTCTCTCTAGAGGAGTTTAGAAAGCAAGGGGGCCCCTTCTGCACCTTGTCACTCAATGGGAAGGTCTCTCTACACTTTGCCCATAACTTGCAGCAGCAAGTTGTCAGACCAATTAGAGCAATGAAGTGCAATATAACATTAGTAGGGACTGTTAGTACACTCTAAAGCAGCTACAAAGGCTTGACCATAGCTCTACTTAAATCTGAATGAAACATAATGAAACAAAAAACCTTCTGACAAACCATGATTACTATTTTTCGTTTTAACTGCAAAACCTGAAATTCATCAACACCAAAATGGACCAATGGATTAAACCTAGATTAGATCACCAAGGTGAAATTCTTGGTTGACTTGCAGAAATAGATACTTTGATACCAAGTGTCACCATGACCCATGAGAAGCATCTGCTTCTCTGTAAGAAGTGATACTTAAGAATTAAAATAATTGCAAAACATTAATGCAATACACTTGTAGCCAAAAATGTTTAGAAAGACCTGTCATTCTAAGAACTAAAAATGTGGTCCTGCTGATGAGAAAAAACTTTGGAACTTCAGAGGCAGAAGAAACAAGCTCCCTTTTTTTCCTGTTTAAATCATGAAAGAGTTGAAAGTGTATACTTTAAAATGCAAAACCTTAAAGGAATGCTGCTAAGCACAAAATTTAAAGCTTAAGGCAAACAACAATAAGATTTAGACTATTTCCCATTACTTTCTTATTATGAGGTGGATCAAAGAAAAAATTTGTTACGATTGTTTCTCCGTTTAACACAAATCCTCAAGAAGTGCTCAGTAAAATTAAGAGATATTTGCAACATGAAAGTCTCCAGTTTGAAAGCAACCTAAACCAAAATATTTCAGGGCAGTAACATATTCCAGCTTTTAGTGTCTTAAGTAAACTGCAGTAGTAACATTATTTGATCTAGCTGTAACAGCAAAAGAATCACAAAAATAAAAAGATTCAGTGTTCTTATCAAAGTTCTCTTTTTGTGTTACCTAATGCAAATTAAACAGACATTAGACAAAAGGAAATCAAAATACTCTACACCATAGTTATCCAAATTCAACTTGCATGTTAGAACAGGTACAGAATTCAGTTTTCTTTGTAAAGGAAAAGGAATCAAACCTGTTAGCTGCATGAACTTATGAAATAACTGCACCAATCTAACCAGTTCAACATCTAAGTCAGTACATCACACTGGTGCAGACTAGACTGAAAAATCCATATAAGTTTACTGCTTCCAAAACTGGACATGGACTTCATGTTTTATATAAAACTTAAGATTATCTACTTGAGCTTAATGTATATTTGATGTAATGTTTAAAATATAACTGCTCATAATTACAATTGTTATTTCTCAATTGTTGCTTTTCTTAAGTTTAAATTATATTATTAAGAGTTACATTTATGACAATCCTTTCTTGACTTATTCCAATCCTTTGGAATTAGGGCAGGTTTTAATAAAAATAAAAACTTCAAGAAACAACTCCTCCAAGCTGATTTAAGAATATTCTTTGAACAGTACAGCCTGCAGAGGAGCTTGCTTGTTTGGGAAGACCAGCTCTAAAATAGCTTTCATCTTCATACACAATTCAATATAGGCTTACTATTTAAAGAAACAACTGTAGTTACTTAGCAAAAGATGGAACACACTGTCCTTACTTTTAATTACTGTCACATACACATTGAGACATAAAAATGAAATATGATTTATTCCAGAAAAATGAAATATTCTGATCTAATATGTCCTTGAAGTATAGAACTGTAGTAAAAAATACCTACCTCTACATTAGCTTTTTGTTGGTCTGAAAGTGCAGAAAGCTGGAAAATAAAATTCAAGTGTTATTTTTTTGTATTCTTACTCCTTCATTACTGTCTAAGTAAAAGAATTGCTTTTTTAACAGCCATGTGATCTGCCTTTCCCCCTTTAACGAAAGATTTAACTCAACTCCTTCAGATCTCTAAACAACACTACAGAAACAGCATGACCACAGGCATTAGAGAAACAGAATGCTAATTAGTAAAAAAACCTATTTTGCAAGTCAGTTTGCACGAAGTATGAGATATTCACACAAAAATCAAATGAAATCATGTCAGAATTGGTGTTAAATTGAAGCCAGATGTATTTACTTGTTTCAGGATGTGAAGGTAGTCGTAACAAAAGCCAATGATGTTCGAAGAGATGTCGTCATCTTCATGAACTAGAAGTTGCAACATCAGGGCCACTTTTGCTTCAATAGCTTGTAGAGTGTCTTGAGCACTCTTCATATCACCATTTTTTATCAGTTTAGTCCAACTAGCTATTAATGCTTGCCCCATCCCATTGACCAGTTTAGAAAATCTGGCCAGAAAATCCACATCATCTTCCTGCAAGAAAAGACACCTGATAAAAAATACTAACAGAGCTTATATTTAAATAATACAAGACTACAGACTGTACTACCCACATCTAGTATGTAGAATTAAACCAACACTTGTCTCCTAGCTGGAAACTACCAATTGCCTACAATTGGTTCTTTTTCCCCTGGGAATGGAGAGAGAAAAAAGTGAAAGCAATGCCAGATTTGTCTGTCCTCCATTACACAACAGTAGCTTGCTTCACCTCTTCAGATTCATTTGTTTCTCTCTTTACAGCAATAAGGTTCAAAATAAAAGCAGCAGCACATGCCTACCATAAATTCTAGGCTGTATAAGAGGAAAATCTTTCTATGGAAAAACTTCAAAGAATTACCAACTGCAGCTCACTCCAGAAATACTGATTAACAAGTACCTTTCAGTATTGCCTGTTAGAGTGAGTTAATATTAAATATTTCTGGCTTGCTTTGCACAAATACATTGATCAGAATCCAGAAATACCCCTAAAGCAGCCACGTCAAAAAGATGTTTTGGTCTCTGCTATAACTACACAAAAGTAAAAGAATAACAAGTCTACCTAAGAAAGACTGAAGCAAGAGTTTTATTAGTAGGAATAAAAATCTGACAAAGGTTTCAAAAGTAAGAAGTAAAAGCCTTGCAATCTAAGAACTTCAGCTTCATAAGGAGTGGTTGCTCCTTCTCCACAGCAGGAGGGAACAGCTGTTCCTTAAACAAGGCAACTGCCAGAAAATCGGTATTTAGTTAGTAGATATACTTTTCCAGTTTACAGATAAGCATTTCAAGCCTCATGTTTGATGGTGCACACGTGCAAAACAGCATACGTGTCCTTAAGAAAGCTCTTTGCCCTACCTAATCATGCACAGAATTTTTTAGGGTGAGACATTAGATCAGCTATATTGCCTACAATACCTATTACAGAATCATTCAAGAGAGAAGATTCAGAGTCATTCAGGAAGGAAGATTCAGGGAAGACAAGGAAACACAGAAGCCAAATTAACAGCAAGCACAACATGCTTTAGGAGAGGAACAGGGAAGTTACATAATACCTTGCTTCTAGAATGAAACCCTGTGTGTTCAAACTAATAATGAACATTAATAACAAGCTCTTAAATTGAAGTATGAGAAAATTGTAAGAAGCGTTCAGCTTTAATGCAGAAGCACAAGTACTTCCCTCTAACTTATGGACTGTTTTATAATTTTCTGTGCCTCAACTTATTTAAGAACTGTCAGAAATCTATGACTCATTTCTATTGTTAAAAATCAATACACAAACCTGATCAATACTGAAGAGGCCAGCAGACTGCAGTACTTGACATAAAGACTCAACCAGTTTTGTTTTATCAATTGGGTCCATTCCCTTATTTACAATTTCAAACAAACAATCACAGGCTTCTTCCCGGAGAACTTCCACAGACATGTGACCTAGCAGCATATTTATAAACCTTCACAGAAAAAATAGTTCAGTTTTATATATACAAAGTGACATTGTACAGAAGCTTTATATTATTTGTGTGAATATTTACAATGAACTCTTTTTACAATTCTTTTTCTATTGTACTGACAAAACTCAACATTTTATGCGTTTTAAAGAGAACACAGCAAACTGAGTAGTGTTTAGTTTGGCCATTATATCAGCTTGGCTTGCAAAAACAATCACTCTCCTAAAATTCCCAAAACTCCAAAGATAGAATTAAAAGTCATCTTTGAAGGACTTCTATATATATTTTAAATATTTATATATTTTACATGTACAACATAAACAACTATATGTTATATTATGAAGGACTTTTAATATTTATATAATAAATATATCTATATATAGAATATATAAATATATTTAATATATAGAATTACAGTCAGCACACTGGCAAGGTGATTTTTGCAAACCCTTTCCATCAAAACCTTCTTACCTTTCATTGGCTATCAGGCTCAAATCTATCCAGGATACATAAGCTCCAACTACTTCAAGGCACTGGCATGTCAACTCTGAGTTATTATATTGATAATTTTGTAAGATTTGGTACCACGACTCCACCAAACTTGGAATGCACTGTTCCCTCATAGTATCTTTTAATAAGGTGTTCCTACGAGCCTCCTATCAATACAGAAAAAGGATAAAATCAGTCTTGTCACAGATTAGCATCTCGTCAAATTAGTAGCATTTTTGTATCCAGATGCCAGACATCATGTGTCATAGCAAAATAACTCAAATCAGAAACCCAAAGAGAATGGATTTTTCCTTTCCAACAAATAAAACCTCCTAAGTTTTCCCTTTTATTATCCACAGTGTCCAAACACTGAAAGAAAAGGCAAAAAAATAAGAGCAGTTCTCTAAATCATTAAATAGACTTTTTTAAGGGGTTAGGACCTCTTGAAATATGCACTAGAAAACATTAACATTTTAAAATTAGTCAATATAGCATTACACTGGCAAACTCAGTTGATTAATTTTTGTTTGCAAGCTTTCAAGCAAAAAAAAAATTATCTGAAAAGTATGAAATCATAAAAAGCACATTCTACAAAAAAGCTAAACATAATATTTTGAATTTAAACCACCTGATGTGTCTAAGGCAGAGCTGCCACAAGAAAAAAAGCATATCTAAAAACCTTCTGCTCAAATTAAAGTAAGAGAACTTAAAATTTTAAAACAAGTGCTAATGCAAAATAATAACTTGCCTCTGATGTATGAACAACATCCCGGTCCACCAGCTCAGCATCGACAGCCATCAGGATTCTGAGGTACATATCCACACCTCGTGGATTAAGGTCAACAACTGACAGAATGTCAAAAAAAAACTTGGGCCATTTTGTGAGATACTCAGTAACAAAAAGCAATGCAAAGACTTGTGCTGCTTTGTTGCGAATAAAAGTCTTCTCAGGCTGGGGATTCAGCATCTGGTAGAAACAAGACATTTCATCTATATATTCTCAATAAATTAGAAAAGAATCATATGGGTTTGTTGATCTCTCTGTAGCAGTTAATGTCATACCTCTCTTCCTGGCTGAGATCAACAAATAAACCCTTAGATTTCCAAGGAATTTGAAGAAAAAATGGCTAAAGTCTCCTGCAACAAGGAAAATGTTTTCTACGGGTGATACAGTCCTAAGCCTTTCATTCATTCAGTACCAAGACATTAAGTGTCTTCCATAAATGCCTCCCATGCAAAACCACCACAACTACTCAAAGACTAGAAGGTCAGTTTGGTCAAAGTTACAATCCTCCTGTAGCTAGCTTGTGCCTGTGTTAGATCTTAGTGCTATGAATAGTAATGGAAGTTCCTAAATCTAACGGGGAAAAAAACCCCACCACTACCAATCTCCTCTCCTTTTCCTTTTACTTCCATAAATGCCTCCCATGCAAAACCATCAGAACTACTCAAAGACTAGAAGGTCATTTGTCAGTTTGGTCAAAGTTACAATCCTCCTGTAGCTAGCTTGTGCCTGTGTTAGATCTTAGTGCTATGAATAGTAAGGGAAGTTCCTAAATCTAACAGGGAAAAAAACCCCACCACTACCAATCTCCTCTCCTTTTCCTTTTAGAAACTCCTAAACAAAACAGTTTGCAGCAAAGAGAAGAGCAATTTAATCCACTTCATAATGATCTGTTCTTTTTAGTTGTATTACACTCCATTTCCTACTGCTAAGTTTTCTCCAGGCAACTATGTATCTTCAGTGCAGAAGTGGAATGACGGCTACACAATGGCGGGTAAGGGCAAACCACTGGATACTTCTGCTGACTGCAAACTCCTGGGTGGGGCTGATACTACAAATTTGGCTACAGTAACTGATCCACAAGAAAGAATAGTTCATACTCTGCCATGGTACTAACATGGTTTATCACAGAGGAGTGATACACATCTGCCAGCACTTCAAGTAGACAAGAGTTCACTCAGTAGGATGTTAGAAAAAGAACTAGCAGGCCTGCTCCTCCTCCAGACACTCAGGAACATCAGGAATCTGTATTATGCCTCTCTAAAGGGGAATGTTTAATACACCTTATTTCATACATAATTGATTAAACCATAGTCATGAGTCAAGAGTTATATATTTAATACTAAGTTCAGGCATGGACTTCTTACAACACTTGATTTAAAAAATTTCTCACAAATCTTTAACAATAAGATACCAAATATTTTCAGAAAGCCATCTTTAAACTCAAACAACAGATTAAACATTTAGTCCACACTAAACGCCCTATATTAGCCTTGAAGCCTAACATGTAAGAGTGCAGTGAAGAACATACATACCTGTGCTTGCAGCCATGTTATGAGTGTTTCCCTAATTAGCTGCTGCTGGACTTCAGTAAGTTCAGAGTATCTGAAACACAAAAAAATATTGAGGTCAAAATACAACTGTGCTTCATGGCAAGCACCAACACTCAGCAAAGCAAAAACTCTTTCATGTGGTATGTAATGCTCCACATTAACGTAAATGAAAAGTTTCTAGGACAGCAATTTACAAAGCTATTTGCATGTTAAAATTCTGACTCAAAGGCAAAGATACTAAAAAACATTTTACCCATAGTAATGGATCACATTTTGAGGCATTTCTGCCTCCTATATTGGAGTAGAAGCTTGAAATTTTACAGGAAGGCTGCTCTATCAGGGACGGGACTTATGACCCTGATAAAAATAAACATTTCACCATAGGCCAAGGGGAGAAGGAAGAGACATCTGTATATGCCTGAACTTGTTCACTACACATTGAAGACTATTACTATTGAGTACAAGGAAGTCCTTCACTGATCTGATCTATACTACATTTACTATCAGATTTATGTCAAAAAACCCAAGGAAGCAATTCTACTTCATGTTGTACATACAGTCCTGGCAAATTGTGACACTATATGCAGCCCACCTCAAATACCAGCCATACCTCTGCAAGGACTAGTGAAGCTGAGAATACTTTACTGCAAAGAGAGTTAGCTAAAGACTTGTAAAGTCCTTAATAGGAATGACTGCTGAATGGAACTCCAGTGTTCCTGTCACAGCCAACTATTCATTAAAAAGAAAAAAACACCCCACCAAAAATGTTTAAAGAAAATAAGCACCAGGAAAAAAGAGAAAACATACTGCAGAAAGCAAGTGACATGAATGAAACAAGCAGAGAAAAATGGACAGTGAGGTAAAATTGGGTAAATAAAAAAGTGTTTAACATTTGCACTCATATCAAACTGTAAAAATCAGTCACAAAATATGTCTTATTCCTATCTAAATTCCTGACCCGTTCAGCGTATTACAAGCAGTCACAATGATATTCAAAGATTCCATGATGCTCAATTCCAGACCAAGGGAGCCCAAAGTGAGAAAAAAATATAGTTCTGTGCAATGACACTCATATTATTAAAAAGTATTTTTCCCTAGAATTATGGTTCTGTGAAACCACCACTCAGTGAAAAGACTACTTTCTCAACATCTCTGCCATGGCTATTGAATGAATAGGGCTCTGTCTGAAGTCCAGGACTCAGTACAGAGCACAGCTGCAAAAATCAGTGAGAGCACAGAGTAAGGCCTGAATCTCCAGACACGAATAGCCAAGTTTCAAGGAGTCCTTGCTAACTGGGTCTGCGTTGGGCCATAGATGTGTTAGACTAGCTGAGAGCAGAGCATGCTGCTCAAAACCTCTCCAGGGAAAAGGTAAAGAAATATAATCTCTGCACCAGACTATAGACACCTCAACAGCCACAACTAGGAAACAGATACTATTTCATTTTTCAAGCAGAATAAAAAGGGAAAATTAAATGGATGTATATGGATGGTGTCAAGTAAAATTACTCACTTGAACTTAACTTGATGTTCCAGAACTTGAAAGCAGAAGAACTTTATGTGATCATCACTAGAAAAGAAAATTCTGTTACTGGAAGCAATATGGTATACATTTCTGTGAAGAAAAAAAATCCTCAAATATTACAATCAGATTGCCCCTTTGGCACCAGAAAAAAACCAAACCTGCTGCTACTGTTACTTCAAAGCAAAAATGACAAACAGTGGAGCAGTCAATCTGGTACAAACGAGCAACTGTTAAACTAATATTTATGTTTGATATAGTCTTTTTTTTCTATAGCCACTTGTTTGTTATGGTTTGATTTCAGTATTGAACAAACAAAACTACAATACCTACTGTATCCTGCCCTTACAAAAATCTAGCAGGCTTCAATAGTATGTTTGAGGCCCACTACTACACTAAGTGCAAGTTGTACTCTGCATCTTAGAAATCAAATGTAAAGACAAACTGGGGTGTAGATTAAGCACAGACATTCCACACGCTCTGTTATCCACACTGCTTTTTCATCTTATTATCTAAAACTTGCAACAACCATAATGTATATTTTAAAGATTGTAATTTCTAATCTTACATAATTATAATTACTGCACATTCTGACGGAGTCAGTAGTTCTGATAAATCATTTACAAAAAAGCATTCACTATAAACTACTGTTAGTATTCAGGATATACGCACCCCTCAATTTCCTTCTAAATGGAATTATTCCATAAAACAGTGGCAACCTAGTATTTTTGATGTAAAAACACAACTATGTGCAAAAATAGTGGTGATTACACACTCTTTGCATCTTGAAAATTGGGATGGCCTACTCCATAGAACTGGTGCAAGGAACTACTTATGAGACTTTATACATATAAAGTTTATAGTCTCACAGGGAGCAATTCTCAGCACTTCTTTCCCCAGAATTTCAAAACCCAGCAGTCTATAGGCTCCTAAATTAATATGGAGTTTAATTTATACATTGTTCTTCCTTGAAAGGCACTATACAGAGGCCACAGATCAACTATGATACTAAAAATAGTAAAAAGACTATATTAACTTTCAACAATTTAGTTTGCCTGTTATGCTGCACAGCTAAATGAGACCCACACATATTACTAATAAGAAATTATTAGTTACATTACCTGTATATACTCTGAGCTAATGCTTCTGCACAGACTTGCCAAGCATCCTGAGATATCTTGAGCTGCTCAAAGTAGGCTAATGCCTGCAAAAATCAAAGTAAGTTTCACTTTTAAAAGAACAAAACACATAGTAACACCTCATTCACACTTTCCCTTGTATTTAAACAGCTCTCCTTCAAAACACTATTTGGATACATTCCAGTGACTCCCTAATCACATTAACACGGAGCAGGATTCTTTCCAAATGCTAATATCTTAGGTATCCATTTCCACTTCATATTCAATACAAAGATTTTTGTTACTTGAATATGGAAGTCATAGAATCAGTAGTGTTGAGGTTAGATGGAACCTCTGGAAACACAGTTAGACTAGAGCAGCTTGCTCAGGGCCTTCCCACTGGGGAGGAAGCTCACATCCAAGTTACAATTCCTTCCACACATTGTAAAGAAGTGGTAGTTTAGATTTTTCACTGAAAACAATTCACTACTTTGTTGCACCACTTTTCTTGTATTCAACACCCCAAAATCAAAAAGCATTCAAACACTAATCACCTGGACAACTGTCAGTAAATGAATCTTCTACAGAAATCAAGAAAACCTCTACCAAATTTTAAATAATCACATTATACTTATCAGGACTCCTAAACAGCTTTTGACAACAGTTAATTTGACTTAATTGCTTTAAGGCTCAGTGTGGTCTGTAATACAGAACAGTAAAGCAAGTTTTGAAGCAGAAATTAGATTAACAACATTATTTCAATTCTATGAATGCAAGTATTTCAAGGAGGAGGTTTGGCTGTTGGATATTTTAGGGGCTGCTTTTTGCATCAGTTCATAAAGATTTCCATTTACACCAAAGTCATCTCCCAAAGTAATTATTCAAAACTAAGTCCTAAAATAAGAATTAACTTCCTGTAATTAGTACTGATGATTTTCTTAATGTATTATTTTACTAGAAATTGTTTGATACTTCCCTTATGTTACATCTCACATGACTGTGGAAAAGGTAGGTCCCCTTCTGCTATGAAATATTTCAAAACTCAGCAGACTGCATAGTTAAAAGGTCAAATCTAAAAGCTTCCAATTTTAGTGATATTTTATTGACACTAAAGATTAGCTATATCCATCCTTTTAATAAGGACAAATACCCAGAATCAACATATTTAACAGGCTACTTAGCAAATCAAACCAAATTTGTAACTGCTTTAAACATTCTAGGATTTGTTTTACGAACACAAAACCATGGTATTAACATCCTCATTCCTGGAAGATTTTACTAGAAATTATCTTGTAGACAGTTAAATCAACATGATAATCAGTTAGCAGAGATAATTACTCAATAAATAGTTATATAAATAATGTCTTTTCATAGGATCATCTCTTATGCAGTAAATGTTACCCACATATCATGATTACTTTACAATAACACAAGCTTCACTACAATTAAACCCACACATTTCATTAAAAATACACTAAACCTATATAATCCATGAAAATTATAGTTAAAAACATCCTAAGAATCAACAGGCTAATTTCAAGCAAAAAGATTCTCATAGAATGAAAATCAGCCACAGAAAACAATGTAAGGAGTTGAGCAACAAGTACAAGTTTTCTGTGGCTGATTTTCATTCTATGAGAATCTATGTAAGGAGTTGAGCAACAAGTACATAGAACTGAAAAAACTTAAACAGTTAAGAGTCCAGAAAAATAAATTCTATGCATGTTAACTGCAATCAAACTGAAATGTAACAGGACTGATAATACATATCCCCTCAGCTTACATGTTTTGAACATGACTTTGCTTTGTACTTGCCACCGCAAACCCTACGCACTTGGCTTACAACACAAACTCAAGAAACTCCCACCCAGCTCATGAAAACATTAGATTTTTTTTGCACTGCAATACTATCCCCGGTTATTAGAGAGAAGAGGAAATTAATTACATACTCGTTGTCTGAAGTCTGCATCAGCATTTGGGTTGAGCCCTAAAAGGGCTTGTTCATCCATGTCTATTGCTATATTCGTTGTTTCTTGCTCCTAACTGCTTTGCCCACTGCTTCTAGAGGGCAAAATATGATCATCTGCAAATAGAGAAAGAGAAATTTTATTTGCTCAGCAGAACAAGAAAAATTAAAACCAGGACAGTAACAATGACACAAGGTGGCCCACAAATCTCAAAAAATGTACTCCAACTAAACATGAATGCTCCAGTACAAATACTGGAATTCTGAGTTCTTTAATCAACTTTTCACAGTACTGTATTTTCTACTGAATAAGGAAACTTTAAAGTCTCCATATATTTCAGTTCTCTTGAAAAGAGAACTTAGTTAACAGAAAAATGGCATTATGTATAGTATTCAGGTGAAAGGCTTAAATTCAAATTTCAAGCATGCAGAAGTCTCAGCAAGATACAACAATACACTCCTTAAATGAAAGGATGTTGGCTTTTTCCCCACCACAAACCTAACTACGAAAAAAAAAAAATATCTCTACTTAACTCCAGTATAGATAAGATGCTTCATACACCCACTTAAGAAGTATTTCCCGTGGTGGGGGCAAAGTCATTAGGAAGTCTTTCTTCTAAAGCAAGCACATACAAGTGTCTTAGAAATTAACCACAAAATACACCACACTAAGTTGTTAAAAAAAGTTTTCTGTTCCTACCAATGGGTGCTGGTTCACTAGCAATGATTTTTAGTTAGAAAATTCAGTGTAAAATTAACAAGTGAGCTAGACAAATGTTCTAAAGATGGCTTGCCACTATAGGCTGTTCTGCAATGCTCTACTAAAACACAGAGAATTAAAAAAAAATAAAATTTCTCTGTCAAATACTAGGATGCTGTTAAATAACAAGAGGGGACAAAAATCCATCTATCCTTCAGTTCTCTGCCCCGCCTCCCCCCCCATGGTAACATAGTTAATTAGGCCTGAAATCAGGCCTTGTTATGTAAGTATGTAGGAGGTAGGGGAAAGGAAGAGACAAGAGGAAGAGATGAAATACAAAGGAGCTGTGGTTTGAAGCTGCCTACATACCCATAGGTAGAACTTCTAATTTCTTAGTATCGTGTCTCGTGCACGCTCTACTGTTTGCCCTCCCCCACGGGAAGAAAGGTGGCACAGTGACAAGCAACAGCAAGCAGAACTGAAAAGGAGAGCCCAAAATTTAACGTGGTAACAGACTTCTATAGAAAAGTCAAGACAGAACACACTATGCATAATGAAAAGCAATTTAATAAGTAAAATTGAGTTCATACAAAAAAATTTGCAGGTTTTGGCAGTACAGAAACCAGAAAGTCTGGAACAAAGTGATGACTCCTGGCAAAGCAAGCCTCACAGACTGCCTTAGTCACAGTGATCCCCCTCAGGGGCAGAATCCTTAGGGACTAAACTGCTGTGCTGAGTCTTCTCCCTCTGTGTCCCCAGCCCCCAATCCGTTTTCCCCATAATCAACATCCAGAAAAGCCAGACTAAAAAAAGGTAAAAAGCTCTAGGGAATTTTTTTTTAATTGCATCCTTTGATTAGAGTCTGGCCAGAGTTACACAACTATTTAATATATTGAGAATTTTTTTTTTTGCATATTAACCTGCTAGTATCAGTACATTTTTATCTTTTGGTCAGATGATTTACACCTGTGTGACAAATTTTGCTAATAAAAATAACGTGACTCCAACATGCATTCTCTTCCCTTGTTATTGCTAACAGCAATGCCAATCTTTCTACTAACTTTCTAAATGCCTCGTGAGCATATTTAAAATTTCAACTTCTATCATATAGCCTTTTCTAGGTTTCATCTTGACTAGCCAGCTGTAAAAGGCAATTAATGAGATAAAATATTTGAATGAGCCTCTTGAGAAAACTAATAAAATAGCTTTTCTTGCCTCATGGTTTTACTTAAGCAGGTATCTTTTCTGCCACGTGTCTACTTAACCAGCCAGTTACACTTCTAAAGCAAAATTGAACAGTGATTTTAATAGTACTAATGATTCACAAAATCCACTGCAAAATGCACTTAGCTATAACATCAAGTATGTAATTAAAGCAAGTTTTATTTATAAAAAACAATAGATAACATTAATAGTTAATATATAGCTGTGCAGAAAGTATTGTTTTTCTTACTCAGAGATTATTTTTTGTTAAGCAGTACACCACATCAGGTGGCAAACTCATCTTACAGTAATTAAAGGCTGCAGTTCCTTACCAGCAAAGTCATACAGGTATGTTGCATCAAAATAACTTACTCCTTTTCCCCTACTAAATACTTAAAAGTACCTTTGACAGTAAAGACTGGTTTCCTAGTGTAAAAGAGGCAGGAAAAAAAAATTTAACCCACTACAATTGGGCAAGACTACCCAATAAACAACATAGACGTGGCCAAAGCGTGTAACTTCGATCCAGATATACCCCAATCATGAAAGCATTCAAAGCATTTTAACTACAGATGCTAACCACGGCAACAATCAGCAATTATAGAAAGCTTCATGTTCAGCAGTCACTTTAAGTATTTACAAGATGTGGTAACACAGGGGGAGCCAGTGGTGTGCCTCATTTGAATTTCCTCAAGTTTTCTCTCTAATAAAACAAAGACATTAAAATTCACCTTTTTTGCGGTTTCGCTTGCTGCAAACCTCGGACATATTTACACAGCCTCTTTGGGCTCTAGAGCTTTACACCGACCTAACAGGCGGTTAAAGCCAACAACTGTGTAACTACCGCTACTTCGACAACTTTTCAACGGGACTAGAAAAGTTTTTTCTTTCTGGAAGTGACATTAGGTCTTAGTTTCGGGCACAGTTTTACCAGCAGGAATGCCGGTAAGGAGCAAGGCCTCCTTGCCCCCGCCCAGACTCGGTCAGAGCCCGCTCTCCCGTGGCTGGGGAGAGCCAGCACGGCCCCGCAGCGCTCGGCAGCGCAGAGCCCGCAGCGCTCGGCTCAGCTCGGCGGCACAGCCCTCGCTTGTCCTTACAGCTCCCCAGCGCCGTCGCGGGCCGCCGGGAGCGCCCCAGCGCCGGGGAACCACCGCTCCGAGCACGCCGCGGCCAGCGGGATATGGAACTGCGGGGAGGTCCCTCCCTCCCTCCCTCACGCTGCCGTCCTACGATTTCTTCCTTCCCCCACCAGAACCATAGCGGATGGACAGCCACGGAGGCGGCAGCTCCCGCGAACAGAACCGCACCACAGACTACAGCGAGTATTAGCAGAAAAAAGCACAGATATTTTTCGTGGCACCCGCAGGGCGGGACCGGCGGGGCCCGGTCGGCTGCAGCCCCCGCTGTTCCCAGCAGCGGGGCCAGGCGGACGCGGCGGTGCCTCCTCCCCCCGCTTTCCCGGAGCCTCTCGGCTGCTGGGAGGCGGCCCCGGGCCGAGGAAACCGGCCGGGGGACTCGCGGGAGCCCGCAGGCGCCGCCAGCTCAGCCCGCACTGCCCCTTCCCCCCGGGCTGAGTCACCCGCTCCGCGTGCCGCGTCCTGCCCGCGCCCCCCCGCCGGTACCTTCCCGGTCAGTGCTCCATCGCCGCCGGCTCCCGCCCACCCCCACAGCTCCGCAGCCGCCACGAGCACAGGGAGCGGGCCGGGCCGCGCCGCCTCGGCTGGCGGCGGCAGGAGGAGGAGGAGGAGGCGAAGCAGCACCGCCCCTCTCCGCCAAGCCGGCCGGCCGCCAGGCACGCCGGGATGTGCCCCAGCCGCGGGGCAGCCTGGGAGTCGTAGTCCCAACCCCCGCCTCAGCACAGCCAGCACCGCTGTAAAACCGACCGCGCCGGCAGAATAAACTAGGGCTGTCCCGGGCCGCCCCCGAACTGCCTGCAGTGCCTGGAAATCGTGCTGTGTCAGCGGCGGCGGGGCGGGGCTCGGCCGCCGGTGCGAGTTCCGCAGTGGCGGCTGGAGCGACCTGCTTGGGGACGCGCACAGGGCAGGGCCCGGGCTGGCGTGGGCTCGTCCGTGAGGAGGGATCCAGCTGCTGCAGATACGTAATGCGGTGGTTGGCTCTCATAATTAAGAGACGAGCATTATGTGTATGTTAAGAGAAGTTTTATAGATGTATAGTTATGTGACTTTGTTATGTTCTCCGCACAGTCCTGTTCCCTGTCCCCCCGGTATTCACTAGTCATTGCATTTAGGGGAGGGCAGGCTTGTTACGAGGAGGCGCGGCATGGCAACAATCAAGCTGTAAGAAAGTGATCTCCACCAATAGACGGCAGAGAAGGTGACTGTCAAGGCTTTGGGAGGGGGCGAGGATATAAAAAACAGAGTATCCATGTTGTAGCCGAGCACATGGCCGTTTGGGGGCGTGCTCTGAGCGCTGCAACTTTTCCTTATTCAGTCACGCCTTGTATTTTGTTAAGGTTTAATAAACCTTTGACATTTTAAAAGTGAGCGTCGTTTCTCACACAGCTGTGTCTGCACATGTGGCACCGGGCTCCGCAGCGCAGCGCCGTGTTCGGGGCTTTGCCGAGGCCAGGCTGAAAGGCGGCCCAAACGCGCTCCAAACCCGTGCCACGGCGCTGCTGTTACAGTATCTGCCGAGGCAAACCCCGCTCCCGCAGCTCTCAAAAGGCGTGAGGCGCCCCAAGCTCCAGAGAAACTTGCTCGTTGTGCCTGCAGAGCCGCTGCCCGCTCACAGGGCACGGGGAACGAGCCGCAACACGCATCCCCTGGAGCTGAGTGCGTGGGGGCGAGCTTCGGGGGCAACCTCACGGTAGCCAGTGACCCGCTATCCCGGAGGAGGACGAGTGAGAAAGGTTCCCCCGATACCCCTTCGCTCCCGGCTACCGCCCCGAGGGGATTTCGGTGCCTCCGCCTGGGGCCTCCCTGCCACGTCCGTCACGCTAGCGCCGGCAGGTCTGTGTTCCGCGGGGCCCTGCAGGCCCGCACGGTGGCGGGAGCAGCGCGCTGCGGCCGGGCCGCGCCGCCCGCCCCGAGGGCTGCAGCCACGCGGTGCGGCCGGCCCGGAAGCCAGGCCCGCGCGCGGAGACTGACAGCCCCGGGATCCAATCGCGCTCCGCCCGCAGCCAATCGCCGCGCGGGCCGCCGGGGGCGGGGCTGCGTGATGACGTCAGGCGGCGGCGCGCGGTGCCCATCCCTTTCCTTTCCTGAGAGCGACGGCGGTGGAGCGCCATGAAGGCGTCGGGCACCGTGAGTACGGATCGGGGCCCGGCGGGCGCGGTCGGAACCGGGAGTGCGGCCGGGGTGGCCGTCGGGAGGGCGGCGGTGGCGGGTTATAGCTCGAGAGTGGCCCGTGCGTACCCGAACGGCGCCGCCGGGCCCGTGGGGCAGCGAGCGGCCAACATGGCGGCGGCGCCGCTCCCGCCAGGTGCGGACCCAGCTCGGCGTGCGGGCCGCGGGGACATCGGCGGCGACATCGGCCCGCCCGGCGCAAGGCGCTCTCTCCCCTGACGGATTGAGCTTCTTTCGTCGCGGTATTCCTTTGAGGAGCCGCCTCAAAGGGTGCGGGGCGGTGGTGCGCGGCTCGCTCACTCTGCCGGCCGCCTGTGTTTCGTGTCCCTCCAGCTGCGGGAGTACAAGGTGGTCGGGCGCTGCCTGCCCACGCCGAAATGCACGACCCCTCCTCTGTACCGCATGCGGATCTTCGCTCCGAACCATGTCGTCGCCAAGTCCCGATTCTGGTACTTCGTCTCTCAGCTGAAGAAGATGAAGAAGTCTTCCGGAGAGATTGTGTACTGTGGACAGGTGAAGGATTAAAAACCTAAAAGTGTGGGAGGTTCTTACGGAGCTCTAGCTGGTGTACGTGGAGGGATTTTACAGGAATTGCAGTTATGGGGTGTGAGGTTGAAATCCATGTCTTTCAGTTGCTGTGAAAAGGAGTGACAAGTTTGGTTTTTGAAAGTAGTGGTAAATGTATTGTAAACGAAATACAAATTTACTTACTGGTTAAAAATGGTGAGCTGTGTGTTGAACCTTAGACTTGGGTTCATTGTACAATATATGTTTTAAGAGGCATTTGGACATTCATAGCCCTGGGAAAGTGGATGTTTGTGTGCTTGCACTCCTTTACCTTGATACTTCAAGAGCACTCTTTAGAGCTGAAATTTTGTATTTTTCTTTGAATTACTAAATCTTTGTACTCTGAATTACCAAGACATATTCACCTATCTTGGTAAGGGGAAAGAGAGCAAAGAGTTGTTTTTTGACAGTAAGACTTTAAACAGGGGTTTCGCTAGAGCTCTGAAATATTTATTCTTAAAATTGTAAAATGGTGATAGTACATCATGTCTAACTTGTTCTTGTGTAATTCCAGGTGTATGAGAAGTCCCCTCTGAGGGTAAAAAATTTTGGTATTTGGTTGCGCTACGATTCTCGTAGTGGAACCCACAACATGTACAGGGAGTACAGAGATCTGACCACTGCGGGTGCTGTCACTCAGTGCTGTAAGTATATGTCACTCTTGGAGGTGTGAAATGGTGGGAGCAGTCTACAAGCAGAAGATTAAATCTCAAAATAAAGAGATAAAAGCATAAAGCATGCTGACTTAACCCATGGTAAAATAACTGAAACACTGAGAAAAGTTAAAGGAGGGGCTTGCCATCTATTCCATAGATATTTACCTATTACACATGTGGTAGGTGACTTGTTACCTCTTTTTATGCAGTTTCTCTGACTGGAAAATGCTCCCACTTCTTTTTGGTGTGTCTTTCTACAGTTCTAGTAATGAGTGTTGCTCATAGAAACGGAGAATTTAATGACTTCTCAGGTGCTGTGTTTCCTGCACTGTGCTGTTTTAAGATAACTGAATATATCGTCCCAAGTCTTGTGAAAAGAAAATTTCAGAGATCATGGGGAATATACTAGAATCTGTACTTTATTGAGCAAGTAGGGAAAAAAAAAACAGGGAAAAATCCCCTATTGTTACACCAAGATCTCATCACCTCATTTCATGGACAAGAAATGGTTGTCCTGATTTCAGACTGTTTTGTGAAGTACTTGAGGGATAGACCATTTGTATGGCTGATGCTGTTGAAACTTGACTCCAAAGTGTTATGAGCACTACAGATTGCACATAAAAACCCAAAGAATATTGTTCTTAATAATGATATTCTTGTCATGTGTGCAAATATTAAATGTATCTTGTCGCCTTTCAAAAGCTGAAGTGCTGTTGAAAGTGAAATTGAAGGTTCTACATTAATGTACAATAATCTCTGTTAATGAACATACTGAAGGATTGCTTAAGAGACCCAGAAAACTTTTCATGATACATTGACTGGTACTTTTATGTTCAAGAGTAGTTATGACAGGTAAGTTTTTCATAGGTGTGTTAGATCTTCATGGGAAACACAGCAGTATTTCAACAGGCTTACTTTGTGGAACTAGCTATGGATGTGATTTGAGGCCAGTGATTTGCACTGCTGAATAGAGGAATTTTCAGGTAGCCTAAGTACAGATGCTTCCTCCTATTCAAAAAGCCTGATTCTGTGGGATGAACATCAATTCATGGTTCTATTGCTGGTCCATTTCAATAAAAGTAAAGATATCCTCAGGTCCTACTTTTACTTGCACCTTCCTTTTGGAACAGAAACTGTTTTGAAGTTCATGTTTCCAGTAATATTTCAGTGTTGATTCTAAATCACAGGACTTTTTTCTCTTGCAAGAGAGTAAGTAATTCTATGTATGTTACTTGTGTACATGTGTACTTTCTTGAAGTTGGACAAGAAGATAAGATGGTTCTTCCTGTTGTGGAGCTTACTTAGAACTTACAGGAAGAATTGCTGCTGTTTGTTGTTTTTGTGATACTTGTGCCATCACTTTACATAATAGAAACAGTGATTTTAATTACATTAAAATTTTAATTAGAAATTTTAAAAGCTGTAGATGGCACTGTGAACATTTTTGAACAAAGAGCTGTACGATTCTTGAACTGAAAATGTCGTAACATTTATTTTTAATGAGTTCTGTTGTTCTAGACCGTGATATGGGAGCCCGTCATCGTGCCCGTGCTCACTCTATCCAGATCATGAAGGTTGAGGAAATTGCTGCCAGCAAGTGCCGCAGACCAGCAGTCAAGCAGTTCCATGTAAGTGAGCCAGCACTGGCTGGTGGGGCCTGGTCCAACACTGGATTGGAAGAGGGGATCTCTCTTGTGTGGTACAGGTTTCCTTTGCAGCCAGAAATAGGGCAGGAGCCAAACTTGGGTGCATATGTTCATGATTATGGTATGTTATGATCAAGACTTCTACTGCTAGAAGTATTTGGAAGAAAGTCACGATAAAGCGAATACATGTTGTGGTACAGAAAACATGCCTCTGACTGGCATTACTTTTGAAAAAAAGAATGCAGAATTAATGAATTTAAGTCCTGTGAAGTATATCTTTAAGTTGTGGATGGATTTTTTCTCTAAGCATAAGGTAGTCACTGAATACAGCTTGGCTGCTTATTCCAGACTATTTTCTGTTCATCTGATGCCTCAATTAACATAGAAACATTTTTCTTGCAGGATTCTAAAATCAAGTTCCCGCTGCCACACAGAGTTCTGCGTCGCCAGCACAAACCACGTTTCACCACCAAGAGACCAAATACTTTCTATTAAATACGAAAACATGTTGTCAACTTTGTGTTGCAATAAAGGTCTTATTGGAAGCTTTCACTCCCAGTTGTCTTTTGGAGACTGTGTCCTGGTTATCTAGGAGTCCCCATTCCTACTCTTATTTTCTCTAAACCATTGGCAGCCTACTATTCACAGCTGTGATTGCCTTGAACAGGTGAGTGTTTTAGGTGCTTTGGGTGAAATAGCCCATCAATAAATTAAATTTTAATAACCAGCTTTCCAGATCAGACAGATCTGTTGTTGAGCAGCTGTAAAATCCATTTTGTCCCTTTGGCACACTAAGTGAACAGTTGGGTTCAGGAGGAAGGCAGCTTCTGGTGTGTGCAGAGCTCAGACTTAGCTGTAAGAATAAAGACCTCATAACTTCAGTTAAGCTGCTTCAAATTTTAAGCATTTGAAGCCAAAATTCTGGTTCTAACCAGAACCTTTTCAGGGATGTTACACTCCACTCTGAATAAGATCAAGGATGGGTATGGAGGTGCCTAGAAAAGAAAAGTGATGAAGGGCTTGGCAGACTTAGCCTTTTCTATTAGACCAATGAATGAAAATGATGACAATTTCTATATCCAAACCTGAATCCTTAGGCTACTTTGTTCACAGCTTGCAGACACTGTAGTTGATATTTAAAAGGCTGCTTCATAATTAGAGGTGGTGCTTGCTTCTGATGCCCATTTTTAGTGATGGTGTTTCCTGGACAAGAGGCAACTACTTAAATTAGTACATGGGTCATACCGGTGTTAAAGAACTGATGCTGTGTTTTGTCCTGATGTCAGCTTAAAAACAGCTGCAGGTGCTGTGCAGAAA